CAGCTTAGGGTTAAAAAAAATTTAAACAGGACCACCTAGGGCTTAGAGATACCAAAAATAGGATTAAAATGAGTTATTATGTTGGTTAGCCGAGCGATTATTTCCAGCTATACCATCCTAGTTCAGAATTAGATGCGAACTTTCTGGCCAGTTTTGTCTAATTTCATCACTATTTTTTAAACAAGTATTGATTTTTTTTTCTAATTTTAGAAATGTATCTTAGACAAGTTCCTTTGATAACATTAGTTCCTAAATTAGGGAAGATTGAGCTTGAATGGCATATTTAGATTACTTTTAAATCTTTATTATTTATGCGAAGGAGGGGGTGGGGCTTATACATCTTTTTGTCTTGCCTATTCTGAAGTCAAATAATATAAAATCTTCATATAGTTTGTATTATTGCCATAATTGGGTAATGAATAAATAGAACCTAACTCAGCTCAATCTTCAGGCGCTTTCTGAAGAAAATCCGTTAACATTAAGGCGTTTTAATTTATATTAATTTCTTCCAAATTTGAGCCTCTATCTTTTTAAGAATAACTCCGAAAAGCCAGAGTGATAGTTTTCGGCTAAAAAAAACTTGGTCTAGCTGATTTTTTAGCCAGCTGAAAATATATATGGTTTAAAGAAGTTTAAAGTTAAAATTATTGTAAAATTAAAATATAATTATAAGAAGTTTTAATTTAAGTTAAAAAATTTTTAAAAATAATAAAGATTTTCTCAACATTATCTTTCAAGTTTTTAAAAGTAAATGTGTTATTTTAATTATTTTTCTAAACAAAATATTTTTCTGAATGGGTTTTATTTTTAATTCATTAAATCATCACAACACTGATAAATAATAATTAATAAACTTAACTTCAAAAATATAAAAAAAACGGAAATTATATTTTTAATAATTCATTTTTAAAATTATAGTGAAGTTAAATTTAATATATAAAAAAATTTTAAACATATTTTCTATATAACTTTAAATTTGCATGGGAAAAAATATTAATACACAAGAAATAATATTTAAAATAGAAAATAACCTTTTTAAAATAGAATACTATGCAATTCATAATTCATGAAAACCTTTTATACATCTTAAAAAATCATTTATAATCTGCATTTTTTGCTATGGGGAACCCCCCCTTCCTCCCACTCAAAGCTGGCTACATGCATATGGAAAATGCTAGATAAAAGGTAATATAACATGTACGAATAGAACCCTAAAGAATTTCGAATTATATTGAATATCAATTTTTATATTTTAAATAAGATTCTCTTGAAAATATTCAAATTTATAAATTAGTGTATTATAAAAATTGTATTCTTATTAACATAAAAACCTTCCTTCAATGGTCGGTTTTGATTTTTTTAGGTAGGACAAAATTATGGAGTTTCTATTAATAAAATCCAACAAAATATTGGTTTTTCAATAAAGAAAAATAGAGGGCGGTGCTTTTCGCCATTCAAATTTATATTAAAACCATCCCATACATTTAAATGTGCATCATTAGAGATTAATATATTCTTAGGAAAAGAACCCTTCTAAAGGCTAATTTAGTTAGTTCATATAAATGCAAAATATAAAAAATTTAAAAATGGTTATTAATACTTATCAATCAAAACGGATTATTAGTAATCCATATAAGAGTTAAGATATCAAGAGGTCAAATATCTTTTTAGTGGTTTGGTCAGTGACGAAGCGTCAAGTTTACTACTAAGGAAGCGATCAAAAAAAATTTTTATTTTAGTCAAACTAAAACAATAAAAACATTAAGATTTATAAATAAGTGGTATTCGTCTTTATTTTTGAGTAAAATGATTAAGTACTGCATTATAAATGTTATCGCTAGATTTTAAATTTTTTAATAATTTTTTTCCAATCGAAATCAAAGATAGATTCGATAATCGATTTTGGCTCATCCTGTTTCTGCAATAAGATTTGATTCTTTTCAAAGATGAAAAACTTTTTTCTGCACTTGATGTTGTTAAAGCCAAAGTTAAGGTGAATTTTCATAATTTAATAAACTCTTTAAAACTTTTCATCAAATCGGTGCATATTAAAAATTCAAGTATCTTTAACATTCTTTTTCTTTTTAAATTCAACATCCCGAAACACTACCTTTAATTCGGTATCCAGCTTGTGCAAGTCGAAAAATTGAGAATAAGTGTCGTTTAAATTATCTAATAAATATTTTGGGAAATTAATTATTTGGAATTTACTAATATCTAACAATTCGACGAATTTAATATTATTTGGTGTAAGACATATGAAATATAATTAATCAAATCATTTTGAATATTGCTTGATAGTACAATAAAAACTGCACTATTTCTAAATGATGTTTCAATAGTAAATTTTCTTCTGCGAGCAAATAAATTAATACAATATAATTTCCTCTATTTACTGAATTAGAAGATTCATCATCACCACGTAATACGAGCTCCTGAATTCCAAGAAAACATATAGAGTTGATAAATATTTTCAATATTCCTCTATTTGATTTAACTTTAGAATTATGCTGTTCGATTGATATTTTGCGCATCGAATCTATCATATTTTCAATACGATTAGCCAAATGTTTTTAATTGAATCATCGATTGCAAATGAGCGGTTGATTCTTTGCCGTTTAACTACCTTTGAAAAATTATTCATATCCGCCTTTATCATTCCAAACATATTTTTCCTTTGGGAATAATAGGCATGATCAACAATATTGAGAATTAGAAAATTCATATCCAGTGAGCCATTCATATTTTTCATATTTATCGATAGAAAAATTACGGATGCAAGTTTTGATTTTTTCTTAGTTTTGAAAAATTGGTTTTGGTCTTCCTTTTTCAATAATCAATTTTTTCGCATCAAAATTTCTTGAGCTAAATGATAATGTTAATCAATAATACAATTACAATTATTAAACATTAATTAAGGATTTTAAAAACGAAAAATTTTTTATTTTAAAAAAGTAAGGAAAAAAAATATTATATAAAAAAATTTCTTTCTCTTTTATTTATTAAAAAAATAAGCATTTTTTTTATTTGCTTCTCCAATGCTTATTTTTTAATGGCAAGATGTTCTCTTTATTTATTAAAAAAAAATAAGCAATATTAAATTTGCTTCCCTCATGTATATTTTTTTAACGTAGTAAAAATAATAGTAACTTTTTTAAAGTAGTAAAAATAATAGTATTTATAAATATAGTAAAAATAATAGTATTTATAAATATAGTAAAAATAATAGTATTTATAAATATAGTAAAAATAATATTAATTTTTAACGTTATATATTAATCTTTTTAACGTTATAAAAATTATATTAATCTTTAATGTTATAAAAATTATATTAATTTTTTTAACGAAGTCAGTTTAGTTTATTTAGCATAGTACAAAGATTATATTGAGTTTATTTAGAAATTTTGTAAGAAAAATTTCAAGGGAAGCAATGCTTCCCTTGCTTCTATGGACCCTTCGTCACTGGGTTTGGTATAGATTTTGGTAATAAAGTATTAAAGGTTTAGGTTCAGTTTAGATTCTCTTTAATAACAGTTAATACATATTTAAAAACTCGTTTCAGGTTTGATTTAGCTAAGACTTAAAAGCTAAACCTAGATATGAACTAAAAAGATTTCACAAAATAACAATTGTTGAAACAAATAAAGTCATACAAAAAATACAAATTAATTGAATTGTATTGCTATAATTTTAATTTTGATTATTTTTAAAATCTCGCATAAATTTTTTGAACTCTTTAATTGTCCCATACTCTATAAAATAATGATTTTAGAAATAATTCTCTACAAAGTAATTCTCTACAAAGTAATTCTCTACAAAGTAGTTCTCTACAAAATAATTCTCCATAAAAGTAATTCTTTTAAACCATTCTCTATAAAACCATTCTCTATAAACGGTATTTTCTATAAACGGCATCTTCTATAAACGGTAAAAATACATTCTCTATAATTGTTTTCTCTATAAATGTTTCTCTATAAATACATTCTCTATAATAATTTTTCTATAAAGACGTGGGAACTCTTGTTTGATATTCATTTTCTTCATTTATAAAATACATAAGAAAACAACTTAAAATATAACATTAATAAATACATAATTTAAGGAAATTTTATTTAAATTCTAAAACTTTTTGATTGTTAATATTTAACTTCTTAATATTCCTGCGAAAAAAATAGTACATAGTCCAGTATGTTTCAATTAACCCCAATTTCAAATAATACATCTCCATTTCTTTTTTTAAAATTTATTATGTTTGGTTAAAAAATCATAATTATAACCTGTGCCAAAATTTCTAAAAATCATTTTAAAAAAATTTAACTCCAAATATAAGTACAAAAATTATTGGATATCAAAACCAACATTTCATAAAACTAATATTTATATTGATCAAAATAAAATAGAAATTTTAAAAAAAATTTTCCAGCGTTTAAAAAAACTTTCGTAACACCTGTGGGGTATGATAAACCCAATTCAATCATAAATTGCTCATATTTTAAAAAATACTGAAATAATTAATAAAAATTTTTGGATATACATTTGAACCTGCCTAATTTAAGCACAGTTGGGACCAAGATTTTTGCCCAACCTAGACAGTTACTCAATTTATCAAGACTTTTTACTTTAAAATAATACATTTTACCATCCTGCCATATTTTTAGTTTAGCAAAAATAAAATTATGTTCAAACATTTTCAAATTTTTTTAATTCATCAAAGTCATGAGTAAAATTATGATGTATTATATGCTCAATAAAATAAATTGCTAATAATTCATTTAAAACTTTTGATTTGATAAAACAAAATACTTTTACATAAAATAGGCTATCATTCATTATATAATAGATATTATAAAATTTATTATCATCACTATTTCTATAAATATTTTATACAATAAAATTTAAAAATTTTCAAGCAATATTTTGAAAATAGGCAGTTTTTGTACATAAAAATATTGTATATAACCGATTCGCATTCAAACAATTTCAAATGTTCATTGATTTTGTTCAAAGGCTTAAATTATTAAATTAATTTCATTTTTAAATTGGATATAAATACATTAATTCAAAGAATAATTTAAATAAAAATATATTGCTTTATAACCAAATTAATAATTAATATTTATGTTTTCTAATGGATATATTCTTCCAGCTAATCATTCTTTAAGTCTTTTTTACCTGTTTGGAATGTAAAATATCAAATTATTATATACTATCTCCAAGATAAAAATAATTTTATTTAGTTTGTTGATCGATTGATTTTTTATTTAACTTAAATTGTTATTATAGCCTTAAAATAAATGATAACTCACAATGATATATAAAAAAATCTCATATATATTGTACATATCCCGATAAATATATAAAAATAAAAAATTTTTTGGAATTATGTAATAAATTATAAAAATTATTCAGGACACACAAGTAAAAAAAAAAAAATTCTTTATGCTAATGTAAATAAAGTTTCAAAATAAAAATTTGCAATTTGGATAAAAAAAAATTGAATACATAATAGTGACAATATGTATCTTTGCTAATTTAAATAAGTTTTAAAAATAAAAATCCGCATTATAGATGATAAAATTAGCATATCCTCCAACAGGGAAGTTAAGTTCCCAAAGTTGGAGGGACACTTAACGGGCATATACTTGGAAAGACTTGACCATTATTTCTCTCAAACAATTTTATCCGACTCAGTAAAAATTGAAACATTGATGAGCAATTTATTTGATGAGCTATACGATAAAATTAAGTCATTATATACTAAGAAAGATATCAAAGATTATAAAATTAATTAAAAAATTAAAATTTTTATTACCCAGTCAAGATGTTTGGATATTGACTGGGAAGTTTAACCTTGCTTCACAAGGTATTAATGAATATTTTTTAGATTGGTTTTTTAGATAGTCTAAATTAAGTAGACAATGAAATTTTATTAATGATGATCGCATAAAAGAAAAATTGAGAACATCTAGTGTAAATGACAATATAAAAAATAAATTAAATAAAAATATTAATTACACATTAAATGAAATGATTGAAATAGGAAGAAAATTAGATAGTATTAACATTAAATCAGAAAGTGACAATGTTAATTATGTTGTTAGTAGGGATAAAAATTTAATAAAAATAATGACAATAATAAAAATAATGATAAGAATTTAGATATCCAAAGTATTTCTAATAGGAATGAGACCTAATTATTATTCGAAGCAAAATTTTGACAGTAAAAATAGAAATCATTGATAACAATTTTAGTAATGTTAACGACAACAGGAATAGGAATTTTAGTAACGTTAGAAACAATAAAAATTATAATAATAACAACTATAGAAATGATCAGTATAATAATAATAATAACTATCAAAATTACCATTATCGGTATAAAAACAGCAACAGAAACTTTCATAATAATAATCATCAATCTTATAACAACAACTATGGTAGGAACAACGCCTGGTTTAATTATAATCAGAGGAGGCAGATTCAATGTGACGATCAAAATCATAATAATTACCGATCTTACAACAACAATTCAAGTTATGAAGGAAACAACAGGTGGCATAATAATGATAACCAAAGAAAGCAAATCGAATATGACGATCGTAATCGGAAGGATTTTAACCAAAGAAAATAAATCGAATATGACGATCGTAATCGGTGGAAGGATTTTAATTAAAGAAAACAAATCCAGTATGATAATCAAAACTTCTACGATAGCAATAATTGTAATATGAACATTGAAGAAATTGGGGAAAATAAAGTTGACACTGCCAAAGATAATAAAGTTGACACTGCCAAAGATAATAAAGAATGATTTCAATGTCAACAACATGGCTGAAAATACAGAAAAAGGTGATGACAGTGCTTTTATGACTACTTTGAAATTAAATAATATTACTACTACTACTATGCAGGTCGACACTGGATCAAAATATACCATCATACCTCATGATATGGCTAAAAAAATTGGTATAAGAGAAATGAAGAAATCCAGTTTGCGGCTTATACAGTCTACGACGGAAACTTGATTAAAATCATCGGGACAACTCAGGTTAAAGTAAGTTATGAAGGAATACGCGTACGCAGGAATTGGTCTTGGGGGGGGGGGATAATAAAATTTTTTAAGAAATATTATTGTTTTTTAAAAATATCAAGCATAAATTTATAGGACTATTAACTATTTCTAATACACAATTTTAAATTAATGTGAATTATAAAAAAATTATATGTAAAGAATCACTTAAATGACCCAAAATAGAAATTTGAATTTTTTGAGCTTTAAAATTTATATATAAAGTATAAAAAATTTAAATGTTAGAAATATAAATTAATACACAAAAAGCTTAGGGAAAAATTGTATTTTGTATGTTGTATATTTACAATGTAAAATCCAATCTTCGTTGATATTGAGCTAATTTTTCAATTATCTCATCCTTGCTTGTTGTCAAATGCCTATGAATATTCAAAAGATCCAAACCTTTCAATCTACTTTCAAAGGTTGTACTTCTTGGTATGTTTTTCAGAGACCTGCAGGTCCGGCCCCCGGGCCGGACCGTATGGCCGCGCCCGAAATTTAAAAAAAAACACCCGGCTGAGCCTGAATTTTTTAAAAAATACATCTAGGCCGGGCCTGAAAATTTTTTTTAAAAAAATATCTAGGCCGGACTGTATATTTTAAAACAGCCTATATTTGAAATCGTTATTATTAGCTATAAAAATCAAAAATAAATATAATCTATTTTTAAAAAATCCGGGTCGGGCCTTAAAATTTTACTTTATAAAAGGCCCGGCCGGGCCTGAAAATTGAGTTTAGCCGTAAAAATCTTTAAAAAAATCCGGGTCGTGCCCTGCAAATGGTACCTCTGCAGGGCTCTGTTATTCTTCTTAAAAAAGAGAATGTTCTCTCATTAGTTTACTATTTGGAAGAGTTGCTAATATATATAAACCCTTTTAATACATTGGGAATATAATCTAAAATGTGTTTGAAATAATGCAGAGCATCCATAGCATTTTTTGGGACTGTATCAACCATAGTTAATCTTATAAACATAGTTATTCAGCTAATAAGGCATCATAAGATACTTTAACATCTTCATGATAAAAATCCAACAAATATTTTTTTTCTATCACCATCTGAAAAAGGATGGGAAGGCTTTTATGGAAATAATATTTGCAGATTGGTAAGTACTGCATAATGAATTAAAAACCATTCATTTATTTGGTTTATAAATGTATTTGTATCTAAGATATACTCTTCTACTGATCCTATATTAATGTTTTCTATGAGCTTGCCTTGCTGCAAGTCGAGTGAAACAAATATTAAACACGTATAGCTCTGCTTTTGACTTAACAATAACTTATAAAACATGAAATTCTTCATAAACATTAGCCCTAATTTCCTTGAATTCTAATAAAATGCTCTCGGCTAATCTCATCTTCTTAATCAAGCCATCATAATACATAAAATAGTTGTACATTCTAATGAGAAAAAAAGTTTGGAATAAGCATTGAATCCAATAATTTTCTTGCTTCTAAGGAAAAATTTCTTTCAGGCCATGTGATATGTCAGTAATAGCAAATAATCGGCTCTTCTAACTCCATAAAAGCTGTTACTGCTTGATGGCGGAGACTCTATCTCGTTGGACAAGGTTGCAATTCCTTTCTCCCTGTTGGACAATTTCAGAATAATTATTATTTGACTAGAAATTTAAAAATGGTAGATAAATATTACGCCACTAAAAATTTGAAAATAATAAGATAATATAAAACTTAAAATCGAAATTAATTGATAAACTTAGTTATGAATGTGATAATAAATGTAATTAAATATATATTTAATATGAGATAGGAATAAATATTAACAAATATAAATTAATATGTACTGTGTAAATTTAATTCAAAACATTTCCATATTTATTAATTTATTTGGAAATAAAATTATTTGACTTGTAAAAATTTGTTAAAATAACATATTTATATATTCTTATCAATTTTTACAAGTTAAAAAATCAATAAACTTATTAAAGATTGTGAATCCAAATTGACTAGCGAACCAATTAACAAAGTAAATGTCAAATTACATTTAAGATGTGACGCCCAACATAAAATAATACCACCAAGACGTATACCGTATTCAAAGATTGATCTTGTGGGCGAAGAACTGAAAAGATGGATACACGAAAAAATTATTGAGCCTGTAAATGATGTGCGATGGGCGAGTCCTGTAACCGCCGTATACAAAGATGATGGCAGCATCAGGTTTTGCGCAGATTTTAAAAACACTATAAACCCAGCTCTCGAAGACTTTAGATACCCACTTCCACGTATAAATGATCTTATAGCTATACTTTCAGAAGGAAAAAAATTTACCAAAATCGATTTCAAAAATGCTTTTCCAAGTTCCGATCGATAAAAATAGCAGAAAATTTTTGACTATATCTACACATATGGGATACTACCAATTTATTAGACTTCCTTTTGGGTTGAAAACTTCATCTGCTATATTCCAACAAATTATGGATCAGATTTTCGGTGATATGAAAGAAGTCATATTTTATATTGATGACTTATTAATAACTGGAAATAACGATGAAGCACATTTAAACAACATCAAAAAGGTCTTTGAGAGAATATTATCGTACGGGTTAGTACCTAATTTCGCCAAAAGTGTATTTTTAAAAAATAAAGTTAGGTTCCTAGGTCACGATATAGATGACAAGGGGATTCATGCTAATCACGACAAATTTTTATTTAATTACAGAAATACGCGTAATGACACTACAGGAGTTACGCCGTCTAAGTGGATGTTCAACAGTGATATCAGAGTGAAATGGAACTTATTGAGACCGTTGGAGGAGAAGGAGAATAAAATAAACGTTACTTTACCACGAAATAGAACCTTCAATACAGGAGATTTTGTTTGGTATAAAGTACAAGGGAATGACACGTGGGACAAAGGGACAATTAATTTGAAGGAAAGCGACACTATGTTCCAAGTCTATACAGAAAAGCGTATTACAAGGAAACACCTGTACCAATTAAGAAAGAGAGAATGCTATAACACATTTGCATACCATGACTCTCCTAAGAAGGACGGAAGTGAGGACAAAAATATTAAAACTAATTATAAAAATATTGTAATACCGACACCCTAGACCGATACGAAGTAGACAAAA